TTTCTTGAAAATGGGAACTTTTTGGGAACTATTCTCCATGATTTCCTGCATTTGCGTGAAAGCTAAAGGTTACCTTAAATATAAAGTTCATCTTACCAGGAGCATCTGGAAGTCGAGACAGTCTCTTTCAATTTCATATTTAGCAGGAGTAAAAAGTGTAACACAGTCGACGGCACCAGGGAGCTGCCGTTGTCACACCTTCTCACAGCACTCTTGTTTCCTCTCACATATGTCGCGATCAAGGAGCCAAACTTGAAACTCCTGCTTCTCCACAGTCACTTAAAAATCCTGTCTCAAACACTCCCGGGCTGTGACAGACTCCCCATACTCCTACCTACACCCCTGTAGTTTAGGAGTGGGGCAGTGAAATGATAGATAATGAAAGTGTATTCTTTCTGATGAAACTATGAAAGGCTTAAATTTACTGTACTAAAATTGATATAAAATATATCCCACAATTTACTCAATCACACCTATGTCGTGGAACCTCCATAAAACCCTAGGCAACAGGGTTCACAGAGCTTCTGGGTACTGGTGAATACATCAAGGTGCTGGGAGGAGGGTGCAGTAGAGGGGATGTCTCACCCAGTGTGTGTCTTCTACCTGGCTGTCCCTGAGTTTCACCTTTTATAATTAAGCTGGCATAGTAAGTAAAGTGTTTCTTGAGTTCTGTGAGCCCCTCTAGCAAATCGCTAACCCAAGGAGGAGGACTGTGAAAACTCAAACCTTAGTATAGGATGGCCAAGAGCATAGGTGGAAACTTGGGACCTAAGGTTGGTGTCTGGATCGGGGACAGTCTTATGGGACTGAGACCTTTACCTTATGGGTTCTGATACTAACTCTGGGCAGTCAGATTCTGTCACTGAATCAAATCGAACTGAACTGCACTGAACTGAACTGAAAGCTGACTGAGAGCAGCTGGTGCCCAGAGTACACTGCAGAACTGCTGGAGTGGGAAACTCTGCTCATTTGGTGTCAGAAGTCTATGGTGAGAATACAAAAAAAGAATGTCCCCTTCAGCACATAATACAGGTTTACCTCTTTTTAGATAGTCCACGCTAACCTGGAGAAATAGCCTTTCTTAATTGCATACTGAATGTACACAGGATTCTAGCACTAATTAGAGGCAGCTTTCACAAAACCTGACACCAAAGGGGGAAGGAAAAAGTTTATTAAGATGATCACCAGCTGGTTAGGGCAGCAGGAGAGAGAATGCCCTGTTTGCTTCCAACTTCAAGCTCAGGCTCACCCATATTTCCACGCAGAAGCCAGTTCCTGGTGCAAGGCCGGAAGCGCCAGGAAGCCCCAATTCCACAGTGAGGGGCTCGGTACCAGGCTGTGCTGCCTGCTGGGCCTCTTCCCAGCTACTGTGCTGCCACCTTGCAGGAGAAACCTCCCTACTTCTTGATCTTTTTATTTCATCTTATCTCATTTTCTTCAAGTCATAATCCATTTTTATCTTGTTTATTATACACACGCAATTTTTCTTTCTTTCTGAGCAAGTTTAGCCTATAGCGGGTTCACTTCTCTGTATCCATTCCTGTTCTCCACTCAACTACCCACTTCCAAACTTCTTTTCCAGTAATGAAAACTTTTAATTTATTTGGGCTCAGTTTCATTTATGTGGTAAGAATGCTTTAACACGAGATCAATTGTCAGCGTGCAATACAATACTATTTGACTATGGCGCAATGCTGTGTGGCAGATGTCTAGGACTCACTCATCTTACCTGATGGACTTCACGCCTACTGGTCATAATTTCCATTTCCTCTTTACCCCAGCCACTACTGCCTTACCACTCTTTCAGTCTGTGAACCTGACTACTCCAGACACTTCACTAAGTGGAATCAGAGTCTCTGCCTTGCTATGGCTGACTCACTTTAATTAGCCTAGTATTTTCAAAGTTCATCCATGTCACAATTGTAGAATTTCCTTCTTTTAAAGGCTGAATAGTATTCCACTGTATGTACATACCATGTCCTCTCCTCCTCCTCCTTTCTTTCTCTTTCATCTGAAATGGTGTCTCACTGTGTTTGCGAGGTGGGTCTTGAATTCCTGGGCTAAAGTAATTCTCCTGCCTCAGCCTCAGGAGTATCTGGGAGTATGGGCAGACCAACATGCCCCACACATACGATATATATTTTTTTCTTTTTTGGGGGGGTTACTGGGAATTGAACTCAAGCCCTTGTGCTTGCGAGGCAGGCACTTGTGCCATTGAGCTATAGTCCCAGCCCCCTATATATTTTCTTTATCCATTCATTCATCCATGGACATTTAGACTGTTTCCATAACTTGGCTGTGAAATGTGAAATCATGGAAATGAGCACAGAAGTGATGATGTCTCTTCAAGATTCTAATTTCAAGTATTAATCTTGAAATCTGCATCAGAGGTGGGGTTGCTGAATCATGCAGTAGATCTCTCATATTTCTAAGGAAACTCCACAGTTCTCCGTATGGACCGCTCCGAGCTCTCACAGCGTGCACTGGACCCCACTTGTTTTGTGAGAACAGGAACCTTGACAGGTGTGAGGAGACATCAGCATCGCTCCAATTAGTGGTGCTGAGCAACGACTTACACACCTGTCAGCCCCTTCTCTATCTATTTTGGAGAAATGTCTGCTATGTCTTTTACCTATTTTTTAATCAGCTTGATAGCTTCTTTCACTATTCAGCTGCAGGAATTCCTTACATATTTTGGAGTTCAACCCCTTATCAGACTAGGGTGTGCAAATATTTTCTCCCATGCTATATGAGCTACCTCTTCGCTCTGCTTTGTAGTTTGACACGGTTCACAGAAAACTTGACCGAACGGTCTCACAGTGCTAATGCCCTCATGTTTTACTCATTCTAATAGGAAAATTGTTTTCCTAATGATCACGATGGCCTGATAATTGCCTAAAACAGTGACTTCTCAGCACCTTTCTCCCAGAAGTAGCCGCTTCCCAAGCCTGAATTCCATTTTGATACTGTAACAATGTGATTTCCATTTTGATTCTGTAGCAATGTGACTCTGGCTCTTGTTCCATTTCCTTCTGCCTACAACTTCAGGGCAGCTCTGTCCGCATTTCTCTGCTCACTCTGTGTGCTCCCGGTGCACCTGCTTTCCTTGCTTCAACCATAGCTTGTGTGCCAGGGATTCCCTGATCTGTGCAACACTGCTCCCGACCTCTTGCTTCTGAGCTCCATGTCTGTATTTCTAACTCTTTCGGGGGCCCCCTCCAGCTCTATTATCAGTCCTCTAAGTCAGCACACTCAGAGCTAGACTATCCTCTTCTCATAGCCAGTTAATTATGCCACCTTCTTTTCCTTATCTTACATTGTCCTTAAGTTCTATTCATTCTAACTCACAATGTCTTGTTTTGTGTAACAATGCCCACTTGCTACTCCACCTCAACTGCTCATTCAGCCCCTCATTTGGGGTTAACACGAGCTTTGGGAATCAGATCACTGGATTCCATTTTTTTTTTTTTTTTTTTTTTTTGGTTTTTTTTTTTTTTTTGGTTTTTTTGGTATTTCTCCGGTACCGGGAACCGAACTCACGGCCTTGCGCATGCCAGGCAAGTGCTTTTGCCGCTGAGCTAAATCCCCAGCCCCTGGATTCCATTTTTTAAGAAAATCTTAGCACAGCCGAGATGAATACACATTTCTCAGACAAGGAGATACAAATGGCAAATAAATATGTGAGAAAATGTTCAACATCATTAGTCATTAGAGAAATGCAAATTAAAACAACACTAAGATTCCACCTTACCCCAGTAAGAATGGCTAGCATTAAGAAATCAACCTATAACAAATGCTGGCGAGGCTGTGGAGAAATAGGAACCCTTCTCCACTGCTGGTGGGAATGCAGACTGGTGAAACCACTGTGGAAATCAGTTTGGAGATTCCTCCGAAAACTAGGTTTAGAGGTCCCATTCAACCCAGCTATCCCCCTGCTGGGTATTTTCCCAGAAGATCTAAAAACATCATATCACAGTGATATATGTGCACCTATGTTCATAGCAGCACAATTTGTAATTGCTAAAATGTGGAAGCAACCCAAATGTCCATCCACCGAGAATTGGATAAGAAAATTGTGGTACTTTTATATAATGGAATATTACTCAGCTATAAAGAAAGATAAACTCGAGGCCTTTATATTTAAATGGTCACAACTAGAGACCATACTCATAAGTGAAATAAATCAAACATACATGTGCAAGCACCGCATTGTTTCACTAGTGTAAAACTTGAAAGAGTTAATTTAAACTCGGAGGTATGATAGACACTGTGAAATGATAGGAAACCAATGAAGAGTAAAGGACTTCTGGGATGTGGGAAAAGAGAAGGGAAAGAAGGAGAAATTTTGTATGTATGTATATACAGAATAGTTAACATGGTTGTTCTTCTGTCTTCTATTTCTATGCTGAAAGAAACTGTCAATGAGTCTTTGGTTGACCAGTATTGCATGTTTATATCTGTTTTCACGAGAAGCCACTTTGAAGATATCAATATGTAATACAACCACCATTGTTAATTCCCTACCACTTTGTTTGTAACTCTGTGTTGTCTGTATTGTGCTTGTGATATGTTGTAAAATGTTGTATGTCTGTTAATGTTTCCCTCCTTTTATCTTTTAAAAAAAAAAAAAAAAGAAAATCTTAGCAGCTGTGTTCACTGGGCAAGTTATCTCACCTCTTAACCCCTACCTGCTGGCAAATCTGCTCACTGTTTAGCTTACACACATACTATTAGTACACAGTGCTCCACACAAAGGCACCGCCATTTTTAGTACACATAGAGAGCAAGTTCTATGACACAAGTTCTCTTTGGTTGTTCTCCAGAGTCTTTATATGTTACCCATCCCACAGAGCAAGAAGGACTTTTTCTACATTACTGAAAGAGTTGAAACTATCTTCAAGACGTACTTTTTACTAAGTGAACACAAACCTAGGAATTGCCAGGGCAAGAGATTTCACAGGATACAAATAATATTAACATGCACATAGACATCGACCTACCTTTGATACTGATTGAAATAGCAAGTAAATGGCTGGGAGCCAATCTCATCTTTCCAGTACTGTTGCCAATTCATGACGTTTTCCAAGTTCTTCTGATTTTCTCTCTTGCAGGGAGGAATATAGGAACACTACCAAAATAAAACACAGAAAGTCAACATTATTCCACGGAATGTTAAAAGATAGTCCTTTTAGTCTCAAAACTTCTGTTTTATCACAGAATACTGGTGGGGATTGATGGGAAGGTATAGATATAATGGGCAATCAGTGCTCTAGTTAGAATTACAGCACCATCTTGATGGCTATGAATATGCCAAAGGTGTCACCACTATGCACCCTGGTTTGCCCAGGGCTGCTCATCAGCTCCTGACCCAGTATTACGATTCTGCAACAGAGAAAAGTTCCAAGGAGCCATCATGCTCATGGGGCAACCTGTCAAAAAACCATCTTAATGTGGTTGAAACAGCTTGGCTGGGGCTGTGTATGGCAATCCAGACCCACGAGCATCTTGCTTTTTGCCTCAATGACTCAGCTCCTAGTCCCCCTGCCCTTTTAATAGAGAGATGGTGTTACCTACTTTAGCAAATCTAATTTTTAAGTAAAACCAAACTGAAATCACTAACTTATATTTTAAATTTCTAATTTGGCACAATGAAAAAAAAAATCCCAAAGATAAAAATACTTTGTCATTAGGCTAATATGGACATTTTATAAACAATGAGTTACACTCTAGCAGTAAGTGAAAAGCATAACACGCTCTCCCTCTTTGGCGGCATTCCAGACAACAGAAGGATGCAAAAGAAGTGTTGACTTTATCCCTAATTCCTCTCTGTGGATCTTGATATTTTCCTCCGTTACTTTTTACAAATCAGGCACATGGCTTTTCTCTGGACATTGCTCTTAACTACTGAAACTTAAACTTTCTTTTCTTTCGTTTGCTTGGACAAGAGAATCTGAAAAAAAAAAAAAAATTCTTCTCAAATACACAATTGATGTATTTTGCTAACGGATGGCTTTTCCTAGCCATGCCGCTGACAAAGTAGTTCTCTTAAAGGGACTCAATTACTCTAAGCAGTGTAGACTCAGCAATGCTGGAAAACTGCTTCTAACTCCAGATGTTAAAATGAACCCTTAGCAGCTATTCTCTCCCAATTTAGTCTCCTACGATGAAGATGATCTCAGCTTGTATTTTTTGTTTACAACATGCTACACACTTTCGCGCCGAAGTGACTGAGCTTGTGCACTTCTTGCAAGAGCCTTCTAGTGAGCTCCATGTTACAGACGAGGAAATTTAGATTACTGTTACCTCTGTGACTAAACTGCATTCTGGCAATTATCACGCTCTACTCTCACATGCATTATCAGGATGTCTGATATCAAGGAGCAGGAAAAAAAATCCCAATACACTAGTTTTAAACTGTAATTTGAGCCACATTGTTTTATTAAGATGTGTAATTCTGTTACACCTTGCTTTTATTTCCTGGTAAAATTCGAACTTTTCAGCATGATGTACATAGTTCTTTCTGGTATGATCCCTGTAGGCCTGCATCCTCATGTAATTCTGGGATACAGCTAAACAGAAGCACTTCCCAGATCTGCCCTGCGCCATCTCATATCCCCGTGGAGAACAGGCTTTTTATCTGCTTTTTCCTTCTTTCGAGAGCCAGGTCTGGCGTTACCTGTTCCATTATCACATGCCTCTCCCTTATGCCGCCACAGGAACCCTAACCCCACGGTATCACAGCCAGACTCACAGAGCATTCACACACAGGCGTTTTATGGCGGCCTCCCCAGTCGGCTGCCAAGTTAGAACAAGCACTGTTATTTTTTTTGTTTCTGCAGCTTCACATTAAGAACTATGTCTGGTAATGGCGAAGTTTCAGAAATGTTGGTCCAATGAGTTAACACTTTTAGATACATTTTTATTCCTAGTGATGAAGCTGTTTTCAGTAGTTCAACCTTTTAAAAATGCATCAACAATATAAATGAATTTAAACTTTCAGCAACCTTTGTTATTTCTACTATACAAAACATATGTACATATTTATTATATTCGCAGTGTTAATATTGTTTTACTAACTGAATCACTGAAAACTTAGCTTGTGTATGTATTGCTTTACTTCTCCTACTAACAGTAATGTAAAGCTGAAGTTTTCCATGAAATTAAGGATTCTGAGTTCCTCCTCAGCTGCAGTTAGACTCCGAAGCAAGAAAGACCATCTGATGGGGCTCCGGTCTGGATTTGTAAGGTGTCTACCTAACTGCCCTTTTCTGGATTTTGTTTTTGTAATCTGTAAAATCTCAATTTCTAGCTCTGCATTTCTGTAATTCTGTTCTTGGTGGCATACCAAGGAGGAATCCAGCATAAGGCAGAACTACAAACCGTGGTGAGATATTTTTCCCAGAAGAGATCCTAACCCACTAGGGAGCAGGCTAAGGAGCCTAACCCATCATTCCAGCTAGCACAGAGGGTCAAGGCGGCAATCTTGATTGAGTTAATGTCTTTAAGTTTTCTACGAGGCCTATCTGAGATCCTCCCTAGACCTTTCTCAGTTGTTATCAAGACTGTTAGAATTTAACAATACATTGGAAAAGAAAATTTAAAGAAGCATTCTTAGAAAAAGAATTAGTAAATTCAGTCATACAAACTCCTTTTTCTTCTAGGTACTCACGCCTGATGGCTTTCCTGGCTCTGTAAGAGGCTTCCTACAGAACTCTTTCCTCTGGGGGGCCAGAAAGAATAATCTACACTGTATCACTATCACCACCATGGCTAGCTAACATTTTTGTCTATAGGTCAAGCATCTCATCGGTCCATATAAATATTATAATCATTCTCACTGCATAAATGAGGAAACAGAGGGACAGAGAGGTTTAAGGAACCTTCCTCAGATCACAACGGCTAGACTGCAGAAAGTTCTCAGCACTGCTCCAGACAGTCTTCCGCATGTCCGAGTGGTAGGGCTTCTTGGTGTTGTCCTCAGAGCTCTCCGATGTGAGGTGAAGGGGGTGCGCTGCCCTCGGTAACCCCCTCTCGGAGAGCCACTACAGTGGTTCCACTGGGATGGAACTGGTGCAATTCAGATGACTGATGAGCTGAAGCAGTCCAGTGCAGCCTTCTGCATTCCCGGTATGTCCTCAGAAAATGAACTGTAAGTTTTTATTTGTGCATTCCTGTCTCGATTTGGCTTCAGGATTGATTTCTGGAGCCATGGATGAAATTTCACTTAGGTGAATTTATGGACAGAATACCTTTGATCAGGGAGCACAAGAAGCACTTCCCTGCAGAAGCATCTTCATACAGTTCTGACCTATTTTGTTTTTCACTTGCAAAGGCAACACTGCCTGCACTTCTAGTATCATCACCACCAAATACCTCCGCTAGAATCTGTGTTGTTTGCTTCCTGAACTTATATGACATCATTTTCTTTAAAAAGTTAGGAGAAAAACAGCAAAAGATAAAATACATTTTTAATGTCTCTCTTAGAAAAAGTTTTTAAAACAATTTTATATTCATGAACAAAGCTGATGAAATTGAGTGAGCTATTCTGAGTATAACATCATAATGGCCTCCAGTGAGTTTATTAAGACAAGACGCTATCATCACTCAACATGAAATGTTTGATTACATACTATTACTTATTTTTCCATTATCTTTATGTTAGGGTTTACCAAGATTTATAATAGCATTCTTTTTCAGCCTACCACATGGATTTATATTTAAGTAGAAGCTTTCTTGAGTAGGTCTTTTGTCATAAATGTCTTGAGGATTACATTTCAATCATGTGGGCAGAGTAGGCAGAATTCACTTTCTTCTTTTACTGAGTCGTTTTAAAAAATATTGAATGAACACGTGGTCTGTTTAATTAAGTATTATTCTGTGAGGCATTATCTAAGAAACAGAAATACAGAAACTTTTTTTCTCTTGTTTCTTTTTTGACTTCATTGGTTTGGAAGGGTATTATTCAAGGACTTAATACTAGAATGGGTTTTGCTGATTAAATGTGTTCTAAATGAATTTGGTTAGAGAATAAATTAACACATTACCTACTAAAATACAGATTGAGTTACACCTTTTATATAATAGTCTCTTATTTTTTGTAATCCTGTGAGAAATCTGTATCAGTTGTGATTTGTAACGTAAATGATATCTTTATAATATAAACATATAATCAGAAAAGCTCTGTAGAACAAAAATTACCACTGAGCCATTAATAAATTCCACAATATTTCAAATGCTGACATACACACACACAGTCTGTATGAATGTAGGTTAACTGGAAAAACATACACAAAATTATACGTCAGCTAAAAAATAAATTCTAGGGCAAGGGGCTCCAGAATGTAGATTTAGATCTGAATGTTAAATGAAAGTAATCTTATAGAAGAATCTGAAGGTGAGATAAATGGCGTAGAAAATGTGGAAAGCAAGGCTGGCTATGAACAGAAACTAAAATGAGCTCTCAGGTGATAGGAGGCTGTGCAGATACAAAATGGCCAGTGTGCTACACCGTTTATTAAAGTATGTTCCACAGAGACCTGTCAAAAACATCTACCCTCCTGAAATTCTGATTCATTAAGATGAGGAATTTGCATTTTAACAGTTATCCCTCTGCCTTGAAGTGACAGGTTTTTAGAATTGATAATTTATGCAACAAATCCTTCTTGACTACTGAGTGCTGGGTAGGGAGTTATTACTCACTCCTCTCTCTCTACTTTCCCAGAAGCAAGCATTATAGTAACTGAGACATGTTCACAAAGTGCTCTGTGACCGCAAAAAGAGGATGGGAATATTTTGGCCACGGGGACGGGAGAGGTGGCGTCACAGAAGAGATGACTTTTGATTTGTCTTATTAAGGTTGAACGGGAATTTGCTTGTGAGGGAACAGGTTGGGAAGGTGACATTCCACGATGGAATGGAACGGGAAAAGATTGTGTACCGATGTTCCAGAGACACTGAGTCATCTAATACGCTGGATGGACAAGGGGCATGGGTGATGGCACTGGAAAACGCCCAGATGAGCTGACCTATTACTCACCAAGGAACTACTTTCTCCTTCCATCAGTGCTTCTGGGAAAAGTTGCTCCCTCCCTCCCAGACAGCACTCCCACTTACCCACCAAGCCTATTG